TTTATCCGTAGTAAATAAAGAAAATGGTTTTATTTTTTTTTGGTATTTATCTTCCGTTTTACAGGCCGTATCGGTATTTGGTCCTGGAAGAGTACAAATATTGGAGGGGTGCTCTATAAACTCTCTAATTTGGATACCTTGGAAGGACAAACTTCCACAAAACGCGTTTAGGGTAGGACGAACCTACGATGGTGAAGATGTGTTCCTAGGGAGGAGTTGTATACGAGGCCGGGTTCTATTTGGTAGGAAAAAAAAACTACCAAAAGATGTAAAGGTTACCTCACTTTAGAACGCTAAATGCACAACTAGCTATGAAATCACTAGCAAATTGTATATTTATTTCTCTTTTAAAATGGCGCTGCATGGGTATGCTGTCAAACCCATATCAGGCACACAAAAGATTTTCATTTGACGAGATTAGTTTCAATCAGGTTCTATTAATGATCGATTAGTATTTCATGGGCCTCTTTTCCATTTGAAAATAGCCTAATATTTATATACCTTTTTTGTAATACTTCGAAGTAAAACTCCTGCCATCTGAATCTTTGTGGATCCCGGCGTAGAATACAACACTTTACGATGTAACATCTTTTATTTTTATTATCTCCTGAGAACTACAACAAAATGTGTTCTCGCAATAGAAGAAATAAACGCATAGCAAAATTACTTTTGTCCATATGTCGATAATGTTGTTGTGTATAAGCTATCGAACCGGGCACACATCTACCATATATATATATATAAAAGAAATTTTTCTTCAGAGGGCGTACTCCATATCAGATGCAAATTGGACAAACTCGCTGTCAATGTTAGCATTACGTATTGGCAAGCAGCCAACAATGCTACACCTTTGCCACCTGGAATTACCTGTATCACTTGAGTGATAGCCATTATTCATTGTCCTGTGTGTGCCAAAACGCATTTTCTAACATAAATCGCTGAATGCGCCTGTTTCGTTGATTTAAGGCTCCCCATTTAGGTTTTTTTTTTTTTTTTTTAAGTAAATATCTCTCTTATTGTTCGGATTACGAAGGAAATTGCAAAAAATATATTCTTCTTTGCAAATAGACGGGTAGGCAGACGAGAGAAAAGCTGCAGCGATCTTTTAGAAAGGTGTTTTTTTTTTTTTAGCAATTACTTAATTTGATTATTTTCGGAACAAATTATTTAAGGCGAATTTCCCTTTCTCTCTTCTGCTATTGTTTTCTTTCTAGCTTCACATAATATTGCATCTAGTTCACGGGGATGCCTTATTAATAACTGAGTCGTTAATGAAGGGCGAACCTCAACACCAAGGATGAATGACAAGTGTTCGAAGGGCATACATTACGAAAGAAATATTCTATCAAACCTATCATTTACGCATTGACTCTCTAGAATTATTTGTCTCGTAACTCTGTTTTCCGATTTCATTAGGCAGATTTCAAGAATCGTACGGAACACTTCTCATAAGTGTTGGAGGAACAGAACTGGTTCGCAGTATTGGCTTTGAAATACTTGCAGAGAAGCTTTCGTAAACGGAATGTATGCGATGGCGCGAACCTACTCTGAACGAAAGAACTTGGAACTCAAGATATTTGGTGGTTCTCTATGTATGACCAATGTTGAGGTAGTTCTGCTAGGTTTGAGAGCTGCCTTGATCGCTCGTCGCATGTAAAACATATCTAAATCATGTCGGCTTAACTTAAGTTAAAGGGAATGCCGTACTGTGTATGTCATTCCATTTAAATTGTCAGAACCGAACCATTCATGAGAAAATCACAGCCAAACGGCCTCTTGCAGTTGAGAAGCTTAGACAATATACGCCGTCATAACCAATCAATAGTGTTTTAAGCGTGTTCCCTAATATAAGGGCGAACTCAAAACATGTAGAAAGAAGCATGCTAGCAAACAAGTTCTAGAGCCATAAGCAACAGGCTATATGCGCCGCAAAGCTGATCGGCAGCGGTCTCATAATAAAATTTCGACCTCTCAAATGTCTTGTTATTGTTTATTCGCCACAGATCTATGAGTTTTGTGTTTGAAAATATAATACACCTCAGAGTACGCAAGATTACCTGTACAAGGCTACGATATCTGCTTCGTTGGTAGGCCTAGAAAGTAGCCTTGTTTTAGGATCTCATAAATAGACCGGTTGCGCTTTAACTGTGCCGATTGGGTTAACAAAGAAGCCTGTGTTGTTGGGTCGCAGCTTGACTCGTTTGCTTGGGAACTATTGCTCGCGCTTACTAATCCGTATTGAAAGATTATTAAAAATCGGCAATGAGGGAACTTTTCTCGAACTATAAAATCTAATTTATAGCCATACTATTTTAGGAACATATATAAACTTAGTAAGGGCTGATACATTTCATGCAATTACTTATGATATTTAATCGCCTCATATTCATTTACGGATCATACCATTATTGGTCCATTAAAGGACGTTTATTTTTTTTATGAAAAACCAGATGATGCGTAGAAAGTATCACCGATCTTCGATTTAACTCAGTTCTGTGGCTGGTTTTCACAACTAATTAATCATTATAGCTTTTAAATCTTGCAGTAATTAAATTAGAATCTTTCCTGGATAGTCGTCTATTTGGTGGCGAAATGTACAATTATGGTTCTAAAGCTCTCCCATTTTTACGTTCCCTGTAGAGAAAACATCACGAAAATCAGAGTACAATATTGGGTTCGTCTCGCTATCCACCTGAAAGGCTCTGTCGGCTAAGTTGTAGGTGAGCACTTGATCATTTCGTTCCTCCCACACACATAATATATAATGATATACAGCTTTGTTTTATACAAAAATATTCACCTTATTCCAACTTAACGGAGTGGTGTCATCACTGGCTTTTGCCTAGTACGCAAAAAGTCTCATTTCATGGACAATCAGTCACGTACTCACTTCACTTCTAACTACTAAAACTAATACTTAAGAAACCATTAAAGAGACCATTATTGTACTACGTACGCATACATATACACTATATGGAGCTAACCATTTAAAAAATAGCGTTGCGCAAAATTTTGGTTTTAATTTAGTTCGGACGGTTTAGCATTTCTGACTTTTTTTCCCATAGTTTTTTCCCCACTTCTGTGCGACGACTGGGCAACCGACATAATTTGTCTTACCTGGGACTTGGATAACACTAAAACGATTTCATCACACGCAGCAGTACCAAAATAATAGCTCCGTCGGCGTTTGCTTGCATTAATTCTGGACTCCCGTCATCTTTGAAGGAAGGGAAAAAGAGGCACTTTTATAGTTCATAATAAAATATATCAAATACAAAGTTTGAATACCCAGGAGCAACTGAACGCAGACATCAAAAGTAGCTCATGCGCTTACGAAAAAACGGATTCGCACTTCGTGACCCAAAAAACGTGTGACGGTCGGTTTAATTGTATTGGTAAAAAGTCGTCTGCGGCATCATGTATTATATGTTGAAGCCATTCGCATCATTTCTATGTCGAAGAGTAAACTAGACTCGGAAGAATTTAAGGATCGTCACTGACTGCAAAAGCAGTATGTCAACATTTCTCTTGGTATACGTGCACTCCTACGCGTTTTCTGGAAATCGTGGACAAAGATACAAGGTAGGTCTAGACAAGGACCGTGGCCGAAGAAATTGTACTGCGGGTTAGGCGGGATTCTACTGAATCTGATCCTACGCAAAGAGAGTCATTTCGATATACACTAACTACAAAGTGGTGGACCAATGAAAACAATCCTTTCTCGTGATTCATGAACAAGTCTGGCTTTCTATTTGAATAGAAAGCATTATTAAGTCAAACAAATTATTGAAGTTTGGCCATGTTATTCTATCCACTATCACACAGTCCCAACTTTATCCGGTCAGATATAATATCTCTAAGCAAATTCAACTAAACGAAAAAAACTTTTCGATTCCTTGGATCGTATATAAATGCATATTATCTCTAGTTGCAATACATTGGCGTTAATAATCAATTTTCAGTTTTCGCCAATTTCTGCAAAATCGGAGGTTCATTAAGAGCTTGTTAGAGCGCATGGGAAAAAAAGCCAGCTAGACTAATCCACCATTCACTAAACGCTCCGGGGCGAAGTTTTTTTTTTTTTGAAAAATAGGAAACTCAGTAACTTAATCAATATTTTAAATGTATCTTGATAAAATGCTAGATCATGCAAAAAGCAAATAACACAATGCTCCACTTGATTTTCCTACTGTGCTCATTTCAAAAGTTCCGAGTTAGATTACAATGTGAATGGTTAAAGTTCGCGAAACATAGACCAACAAGACATTAGCTGGCTTCCTTCTCACCGAATCCCGAGATCAAATTTATCGACTAAAGCTGAAAAAATTTGGGGTAGAAATACGTCACGTATGTTTTCAATGGATCCAATGAATATAAAAGAAGCAAAATTCTATCAATGATCACTGTTGAGCACAATCAGAATCGAGCAGTACTTCGAATGCAGAATACGAGGTAGATTAAAAACAAACCGATAACGTGTCAGTTTCATAAGGCGATTCCGGAAAACATGTGTTACTAAGGGTTCGTACAAATCTTTGATTGGCTAATTTAATCCTCATAAAGTTCTTCGTATAGCTGTGATGCAAAATAAAATGCTATTTATAGATTCGGTTCATCTGTGAATAGTACGGATAGCAATAAAGATGAAAGGTCGTTTTTTTTCTGGGTTTTTCCTCGAATATTTACATCAACTATACAGTATGTACAGAGTTGATAGCAATATGATCATCCAAGGTGGGAACTGTGCGTTTTGCTGCGATAAAATATGCATTAGCGAGAAGTGATGAACATGTATAACTGTTCCTGGAGCAGGCCCATATTTTGTCCTGGAAATCCTAAGAGTCAGCCTTTGACAACCTTTAAATGGTCTATCCGCGTAATAGCGAATCACACACATGTGGACTCTCCAAAATGGTCTATTAAAAGAAATCACAATAAATACTTTTATTTTATCTTTGTCAACTCGAACCGGCTCTGACAGTTCTGAAATGGCGCTGCACGCGTTGGGTCAAATCGATTTATCAAATGTGTAAAAACCAATTTAGGGCATCCAGCTGAAGAGTGTCTGGACAGTCGTCCCATAGGCGCAAACGAGACATTAGATGATGTACGAGGGTGCATATTTATCAGAGGTCGGGATTTGAGCTTTACGTAGCCGTATTGTCTCTGAGTAGGTATTTTCGATATATTCAACGGCAGTATGAAACTCTGTTCTCAAGCTTACCGTGAACCTAACAAATGTCTAGCGAAGTTTAGATCAAAATTCATTTGGACGATATTGATATTTGTTACGCGATAAACTACGCCCAGGTGGCGCCACCTGCAATTATATATTTCAGTCAATATGCAGAAATACCTATAATGTAGGATAAAAACTATGCACATTCAGTATGGCGTAGGCTCCATTCAAAACTACCGTATATTTTTTTATAAATCATTATCAAATCAATGATTCGATAATCTGTTAATTCAGATAGTACATCCGCTGCGCAGTGCAGATATGTTTAACACATGCTTTCACAAAAGATTGTTACCAGAATCCGTCTGCAGAGCCAATTGTGGTAACGTTCTATTTGACCTGTCCTCGAGGGTCACTTGTCAATGCTCTCTGTTATAATAAGTCGCGGGCCGGCGTGTGGTCTGCATCGTCTGCTTCGAACAGCTGACACAGACTTGATCGGTTTAAAGCGCATAGTTTTACAGCTTGGAGCAGACTTTACGGTGGTAAGGAACTCTTCGTTTGAGCAAAAACTGGCGTGCAAACGGCACGACATAAACTGCATATTAAATTGGCTTTAATTGTATTATTTGTAAATCTTCTGTATTTTGTACGGTTACACGACTCAGAAAACAGTGGTAGCTTGTAAAATGTTTACTTGTATGGTATAGTGGATTGCTTTCTCTGTGGATAAACGTGCGCCTGAATTGCTATTATTATTATAATGCTAATATTACATGATCTCATAAAAGAAAGAAGCGCTAAACAGTGAGTACCTACAACGAACGCAAGGCTATTGATTTTTTTGGTTATGGAAAAGTGAGCATAAGATAAAAGCTAAAACGTACCATACATATGTTTACGTTGTTTCACGATTTGTTATCTTGTTCAGGTGGTTGACCGTGAAGTGAAGTTATATGAAAACTGAAGTTTATAAACTATTATTCTTGTAAGTTTGCTCGTTTAACTAAAACGTGCCACGAACAAAACTTTCTGCCACCGAACCCGCTACATTAACTTTGTCTCTCGATTCTGTCTTCGAAAACTGTAAGTTTTCTTTTCTGTGATTCATTTTGCAACACCATTGTATGCTTATGGTATTATATTTTAATGGACATATGGAAGGAAGCTAACTGTGTTGCTGGTCAAGGGCTTAATTGATTATTCGTGGCATCTTTACCGCTAACGGTGGATTCAACTGTAATAACAATAATGTCCATTTTGTTTTTAAGATGATCGTAAAGACACGTATTGTAGGCGATGTATATACTCTGTTACCATGCGAAATACCGATTAGCCTGTCGCTACAGTAGGGTAATTTAGGGTCCCCGTCCACAATAATCTGCTCAGCCAATAATAACAGATTAGCGAAGAGATAAGTATCTAGCACACAAGGACATGCCTATCGCTTTCAATGACTACCATAGCTAACGGTGGTAATGCTTTTTAGACAAATTGCTAGATAATGGCATGTTTATATATTAGTAATATTATATAACATAATGCTACTTATATGTTATACAACTTTAATGATAGCTGTTAGCATTTGAGTACAAATCAATTTGCTCCATCTTTTCGACGAGTCTTCTTTTTAAACATCAGTTCAAGTAAGCGCTGGTTATTTTAAGATTTAGATGGTATACGGAAAATGTTCATCAACCAAAGCATCGGTGCGGTACATCGATTAGAGGTTGAAGGTGCGATTTGCTTTTCGCTTTCGGCTTTTTATAAATGCGTATTTTAATAGTACGGAGCGTTTTAATAAGATAAGAAAGCGGAGAGGAGCTGAAAAGAGCCTTAAGCTTCGTTGCCGGCAAAGCTCAGAACCCCATTAGGCCCACAACATCTAAACGCTATCTAAAGTGGATTTTTGTTGTTTTTTTTTTGTAGTTTATCATAAAACACATTATTTAAGTAGGTTTCTAACTTCGAATCGAAGACTACTGCACAAACTGTCGAACTTTGGTTATCCTTCCACAGGATTGCGTAACTCGATAAATGTTCTGTGTATATAGCTATTTAATATTCATTTGCAAATGCCACTTGGCGATAAGTATTCTAAGAATAACTTTAGGCCGAAAAGCTAAGTTCAACTAATGACAAATGACTTAATCATCTTTTTCTAAACAGTTCAATGAAATGCTATAGTAGTTGGATCTATTTTTGAGATAAAACTAAACATTCATCAGAAAGACGACACATACAAATTTTAAGATGGTAGAAAGAAAATGTCAGCTGACACAGATGTTTGATCCGCCAGACCGTCGAATAAGGAAACATTACGTATGCTCATACTGCTTAATGGTAGCAAACTTGAACCGATAGAGTTTAGGCTGAGAGCAGACTAACAGATAAATGTCGGTGTGCATCAAAATTCATAATTTTGTTCCAACTGAGGATATTTTAGCAATGAATATTGACATAGCTAGCCGGACTTTTTGTCTAAAGTGTAACTCATTTGTAAAATTGTATTACCTAATGTCTATCCGTCACGGTCTCAAACTTCTCAATGAAAGCTTACCTGATTGTCAAACGGTGTAACCATGACCCAAATATCTAAACAAAGCTTATTCTTTCTTAATAACGAGTCGAACGAACCATTCAATACTTTGTAAGGCGTCCATTCAGATAAACTTATTTCGCTGTGTTAAAATTGAACGTCATATGCCATCGTGCCTTTGATGTACCTACCTGACCCTAATGCTCCTTACATAAATGGAACCGACCTTTGAGACAGGACATCCTATATGCTTCTATGGTTGGTACTATATTAGTTACACTGAATTAGCCATCTGGTTTGTTAGAATTCAACATCTTCAATGTTAGATTATAAGTCTGTGCGTGAACCCCACGAAAACGGCGCCTTATTTTGTCCTGAGGTAACATTATTTGTAATGGAACTTGCAAAATTTGCTATGTTAACATTTCATTGAGGTTTTTACCTATTTAATACGAATAACAGTAGGTTTTGCTAGAACCAATCGTGGTGATTATGTACTCATCAAAGAATCAGGTCATACGGAAATCCCGCTCTGTCACGATTTGTGGACTCCATTAGACAACTAAAAAAACAAAGCTGACCATAAGTCAATGTTCATGATTATGCCGAATTTGATCGTCGTACACTGCAGCGTATAAACAGAGCATTTTTACAGCTAATGTAATGCTAGCGGAACGCTAGCTTTAGGTTAATTGTTGCGAATATACTAAGACGCAGGGTTTTTTTTTATTCGAAAGTGACTCAAATTTGGTCCGCTTAGAGCTGTTGATTACGCATTGAAGTTTGTTGACTTGGTCGTCGGCAAGGCCAACTGGGATCATACGGAATATGGCAACCGCGATCGATTATCCAAAAGTGCTCTGCTTTGGCGACTCGTTGACGCAGGTAAGACTGTCCCGAGTTCAAATCGACCAAGACAGTGCCGCCAATAATTAAAAATAATATAATGCATTTATGATTCAAAATCAATGCCGTTGGGTTAATTATTATTATTCGGCAGTTCGACTGTTATTTTAGAAATGTTTGTTCGAAAAACTACTCAGGGAGATTCTTTTTGCAGTACTGCTTCAACTTGAATGATGGATGCTGGGGTACCATCATTGCGTCTCGTTATCAACGGTAAATAAATACTTATAATAGATAAAATCTTTCCTATTTTAATGCCTGTATCTTTGAGCACTGCTGCAAGTACCAGGCCGCGTCCTCATGAGGAATTCAAGAAGAAAAACTAGGTAGATCAAGCTGATAAGCTAATAATTAATATACTCAATTATATTATTCGATCAGGTTGGATCTATACAGTCGGAAACGTGAATTTTCGCCATTGCATTTGTAGCAAGTTACATCACACGGTTCATGCTAAAGAAACTAGTGAAAATGAATTCATTTGGAATTTCACGTCTCGATACATCTATTTTTCATCAGTAACTAAAAAATGGGAAAATCTTTCTACTCTGCCAGTGTTCCTAGGCACATCTAATTCCTAGCTGCATAGGTATGTAAAATATCTTTTATATTACTATTAATATATATTAATTAATCTGGAAATATAGGCAGGTTGACGTGATAAATCGAGGGTTCAGTGGCTACACTTCACGGCAAGCCATACACATGTTGCCTCGTATTCTCTCAGCCTTCAGCAGTTGCCAGACGGTGCTCGGAACACAGACTGATGGCAATCCTCGCGCAAATACATCAATCACTGCGCTGCTCGTTTGGTTCGGTGCTAACGACGCCTGCACCCCCGCAAATGTCGCACACGTTCCTGTAGACGAATACGGGAACAATTTGGATTTGATCGTCGATCAGGCCATAGTGTGTTTCTACGTTGTTTATTGTTTGGGATACTATATCTTCTGTGCTACTTTCTAGAAAAATCGATATAGACCATTAAATAGATAACTCCATAGCTAGTTTGTTCGGCAACTTTTACCTTAAAAAGCGGCGGCAACTTTTACCTTAAAAAGCGGCGGCCATGTTTACCTCAAAAAGCGGCGGCCATGTTTACCTTAAAAAGCGGCGGCAATGTTTACCTTAAAAAGCGGCGGCAACTTTTACCTTAAAAAGCGGCGGCAATGTTTACCTTAAAAAGCGGAATTCATAACAGATTTTCTTACTGTACAGGCTTCTGGACTGCCTGTCTCACGTATCATTCTGATCACCCCGCCCGAGTACGACCACGCTAAATGGACGGAGCTTAAAGGAACGGAGGGCGTTCCAGCTGATCAAATTGGACGAGCCGAGGGTCGCAGTAAGCTGTATGCTGAAAAATGTGTCGAAATAGCAAAAAAGCGAGGCACCCAGGTGGCTGACATCCACAAAGCAATGCAGGCCGAGTCGGTAAGCTGAGTAAACTTCTTTAGTTTTACCTTAAGTGCCTTTTTGTACCTCTGTGTAAAGATATAGGTAGACGATTTGGCACTACCGAAGAACTTTCTATTACAGAATTTTATTAGCCTAAAAATTAGGTATAGGATTCTCTGACATGGCGTCATTTAATTTCACAAGTGTTGTCAAAGTGGTGTGAAATCAGGAAAAAATAATTCAATCGCTTGGTTGAGCTTGAATTTCAATAGGGATTCAGATATCGAAAATTACTATAATATAGTTGCTTATATCCTTCATTTTTCAAATCTTTATCTTAAAGAATTGATATTTCAATGTGACTGTATTTTGCAAACATTTTTTTCGTATGTTATGACAGGATTGGCGTTCATTAATGGAGGACGGACTGCACTTCAACGTTCGTGGGGCAAAGTTTGTAGCTGACGTGTTAATCAAGCATCTTGACCGGCTTGTAGCAAACCTGCCTATTATTTTTCCTTTATCAGAGAACTCAAAACGGGACAATCCAAAAGAAGAACTCATGAATTGGATGCCACGTTGCAATGAAAAACAGACGAAATGACCGTTTCAACAAGAACCGGCTAAACTTATTGACTGTTCCTCGAGTTCTTAAGCCATTTATTGATTTGGCTATTTGACTAGATATTAACTTTAGAACATCTAAATCTGAGTTTGGTTTCTTTTTTTTGCCTAAACAGCTCGAACTAATCATTGCCATCTTTGTTACATTTGTTTATCCTAGAGCGTGCTACGACTTTAAAGTTTCAAATAAAGGAGAATTTCTTATTGCTAGTTCTTATTTGTAGATCTTACACGGGCTTTAACAACCTTTTCGATACATTAAGCCTATCATGCAAATACTTATTGAAAATATATATAGGGCAATACACCAACTATATAGAGTATATAGAAAAACATTAATATAAACAATAAACCACACAAAACCGATGTTATACCAATCATCGCAACTGCCGCACCGTGAGGTTCGTATACAGCCCTTTGAGCGAAAACCCTTCAAAGGGATAATTAGACGTACAGTCTGAACTTCCTAGGTACAAAGATATTGCACAACAGTGATATGATCTTTCTCTGAGTGACAAAGTTGAAATCTGAGTGAAATCGCTAGCTAGCACGCAATGGTAGAAAATCCTGTAAAGCTGCAAAGGGTAAGTCAAATATTGCGCTTGAAAGTTTCTAGTGTTTAGTGAACCCTGGGGTACAACTCAAGAGGTACGTCCTAGCTAAATACATTTACATACAAAGTACGATTTATTCGTGTTTTTAACACTACATTATTCATGTTCACTCATATACTGTAATATACACTAATAAACACCCTCAAAACTCAAGCACGGCCGCTTTTGAAAAAGCGAAGGAAGTACTTTGGTTTCGAGATGGGGTAGTGACTGCAGCTCATATAATTTTCTAACTGCAATTGCAAAAAGCCAAGCGAAGAACGAAAATCTTGGACGGGAGCGGCGGATGGGATCGTGTTTAAGGTCGTGGGAACAATAGACTACCAGACTGACAGGTTTCAGGACTTGTGCCTTTGTTGCGGTGGTCCAGAGATGAACTCGACCGAATGATTCGTTATGTCCTTGATATCACCACTCCAAATCCACTCCCATTTTTCTTCGAATTTAATGAAGGTACAGGCTAATAAAGAGTGCGGCTTGAGGAAAGAATTGCGACAGTCGGTATGAGTTTCAGCAGAGCCAAATCCAGCTCTCAATTATGAGAGCTGGATTTGGCTTTATTTTAACTTTTTTTTTTTAACTTATTTAACTTTAAATTAAATTAAATTAAACTTTAAAATTAAAAATTTAATTTATTTAAATGTTTACCACCATATTTGGTGTTGCATGTATACTTCGGCCCCAACAACGCGGTGATGCGTTATCTACGCCTCTTCAAAAAACAAGTCAAAAATGATTCAAAGACAAGCAAAAACGCGAAGTCACATTAGAGCCAATCACATTTAATAACTTATGCGCTACGCGCCGATAGCGGACAAAATTTGGCTGGTGGATACTCAGTGCTGGTTGAGTTTATTTCAGGAGAAATTAATTCAGAAAGGAAAGGACTTTTTACTTTCGAAGATAAACGTTCAGTAGCAAAGCTTTCACTTTTCGAAAACCACGAAATCGCTGAAATTCATCGAAAGTTGATGAAGGGATCTTATACAAGGAGGTGTCAAGCGAAAGCATAGTATTGTAGCTGCAAACGATTCAAGAAGAGAGAGCGTAAGATTGAAAACCAGGCAGGACCTAAGCAGATGTCAGAACCTGAAAGTCAAGAACGCATCGTTACGGTCCAAGAGGTTTGCTAAGAAAGCAAGGCCTGGGGTGTAAAAGCTCTGTCGGCCAAAACGGGCATTTTACAATTCTTAAAACATGGGGTACAATTCTTCTGTAACATGTAAAATGTTACAGAATTATAACCCAAGTACTAAAAACGGCGAAATTGAGTAAAACATGGGTTTGTGAACTGACTTTTGGTCAACAGAAAACCCGCCTAAAGCATACAGTTGCAATAGACCAGGCATCGTTCAATTTCCACTGCTAACTGGAGAAGAACCAGGCAAAATAATAACGTCGTTCTAGAGAGAACTCGAGTTTGGTCATAGTGTCGAGTAGGTTTCGCTATAAGGCGATGCAATGGACATTAAAAGCATCTGTTACTATGATATACGAGATACTGACTGAAACTGAACAATGTCCGCTAGCTTGAATTCTCCAATCGGCTCATGGACTGTTGGCCCGGCAACTGAAAGTATGCAAAGTGGTCAGTTGACGACAATGCCAGACTCCATCGTCATGCCTCAATAACTTCTTGGATTGAGCAAAGGAATATCTAACGTTAGTTTGGACTCGTTTATTCCCGCGATTTAAGTTTATGTGAGATTTTTCATACCCTAAGAAGGGCTCCTAATGGGCAAGCATGTCCCATTAGCGATGTACTTCGAGCAGCCATAGATAGAACAATTATATATGGGAGCGCGAGTGGTTGGTATAGGACTGTCCAGAAGATGCCCGAGCGGTGGCAAAACTATGTAAATAATAAAAGAGAGTGAACTTAACAAATAATAAAAGAATCCTTCTTGCTCAAATAGTACAAAAAGTAATTCAATTTCAGAGTTCGCCCGATTCGTTTGCAATAGCCTAATAGTTTGAAGAATGTAAGGACCTCCTTAAAAATGTTTTGAGAAGGGTGGGATGCACACCTTCAAAGAATGAAAGCACTGATGAGGCGAAGATTGCTTTTGGTAGATCCAACTGCTGTCCCTAACCTTCTTCAAAAGAAAACTGATATGTAGATTGATATGTTGCTAAGGGGCCTATGAAAAGCGTTCTAAAATTTGCGAACTTTATGCCCCGGATTTCAGGGCTATCGAAGAGTGTATTGTCTCTAATGGCAATAGTGGCGGAACTTGTTTCACTCTCTTTTAATGCTAATGTATGTCTTTTTAAAAGGAGATATAGATGAACTCTACTGTTACCGGTACTACAGACTCGCAAAGAGAATTAGCAAATTAAATCTCACAACCGCACAAAGGGCCGCATTGTAGAACTGGCAAGAACAGTGGGCGCGGAGCAAGATTTGCGGGATTGACCAGGATCATAGACACGTATTCTGATACACAATATGGCCAATGAACCATGCAGAAAGTTCGTGCATCATGTCACTCAATTAAGACCATTCAGAGCCAATTTCGCAAACGTCCGTAAGGCACAGATACTTTTGTGTGTTCTCTGAGTGTCGGAAAAAAACAAGGTTGAATATATGATTCTTCACGGCGCAATTTTAGATGCGACGCGGTAAGACCACCTATACTACAAACCTTCACAATAAGGAACGACCAAAATATTTATGGAAAGCATGATGAAGTCAAACAATTTGTAAATCGATGACACGGTTATCTTTAGCAGTTTTACGAAGGAAGGCTAGCGCATGAAAAACGACAATCTTAAGCGGACTATGAGGCAAAAAGAAGTTGTAGATGCTAGTTCGCCCATTCAACCTTTCCCCCTTCAAGATTTCGAAGTAACATAACCAGTGTGCCAACTCTTGTAGGAATCCCCTAAAGGCCCGAGTTGTGTGTCTTATTATTTTATCGGGAAGTCTATACTACTTGTCACCTGAGAAAACTTACCCTGGGGCACCAGAGACCCGTAGGCGGATACCCTAACTTTGTAAAAAAAACATTCCTATGATCTTTAAGGTTATTTAACATTTTTATTAATTTCTGCTAGGTCTTGCCTACAGCTCCCGGCAGGTCACGCTCTAAAAGCTCAGGTGAGCGCTTAGGGCTTAGGTATGCTATTGCTGCGCATGGAGCCCATGCGAAAGGTAGGCTTGCCCTTCTGTGATCCTGTATTTTTTAAATGAAAAGAAATCTGTTGATGCTTTTGTTGTTTGAAAGAGGACTACTCGCACAGTTTCGTCCGACGCAGCATAATATGGTAGTCAAGTATGAAAGCCTGTGAGCCCAAGTAAATAACTTAAAAGAACATTATAGCAACTAAAAAATCGTTCACTCAGAACTCAGAGCATCACAGGCAGAATCAAGCTTAATTATTTGTATGATCTTTATTAACTACCGCTATAATGGATTACCATTGTTAGGTCAATCACATTGTCACTAAGTCTATATTTAGAACAGCGTCTATGACGTGCGTAGCTTGCAAGTTCGTTCCTCGTATGACTAAAATTTAGATTTTTGTGTGAGTGCATAGAATGCTGTACGATATGACAAATCAGCTACATAAACATAAACTTGTGAGAATAGATTCCTAACACTTTTGACTTATTTACTTATACTTACGTACTTATATACTATATACTTAGATAACGCTGTTTTGCATTACTTAAGGATTTTACAAGCGGGAGGCTCAGTACGAGCGATGTCAAGTGAAAAAGGGGATTGTTATTTCTAACGCGAAACTCATACGATCAACCGCCAAACTGGCTGACATTATACACGTTTTATATTCATGATATATGTATATGCTGCCAGGGTTAACGTCCAATACTCCCTTAAGCACTAGTTCGGCCGACTGATTTTATTCTAATCGCAGTCCGCCGCTCGTTCTGGCGCCGTGCGAGTAGTCCGATCGGTTGTTAGCGGTTCGTCTGGTCTGCGTCTATCAGGTACGCTCAGCATATAAGCCGGCTTCGGTTGCAACTGTGTTTTAGACCGTGCCGATCGAATCGGCTCGGTGTATTTTGTGTTTAGAGCCATTCGTCAGTTTTTAGAAGTTGTTACTTTTTGTGTAAAATCGAAAATGGCTCTCCCTCCGTTCCGTCAGCAGCAGTATCTTATGACCCAGATGACACAGAATGTTCCCATACAATGTAAGTTCCGGGATATTCCGTCCGGTCAACAGCAAATTTTCTATCCTGTACCAGTGTCCTGTTGTGCGCCGGCAAACAAAAGCCTGATGATTCTGTCGTGTCCCAGTCTATTTGACGTTTTCTTGTGGGTACAATTACCCACGCTGAAATTACTTGCGATTTCATTTGTATAATAAAAACTGCGTTATTGATCGTGTCAATATCTACGAAATGATTGTGTTGACTACAGTATTATAAACATGTCTTTTCCTGCTAATTACGTAAAAAACGAATATGATTGGAACATGTTCCAAAATATGAAACAAACATCTTGAAGATTATCCAAGACTTATCTGTACCTAACAGAATCGATACAAATTTGTATTGCAATTACTCTGATATCAGAACTCTAATTTCTAATTTAATATGTGTTATTCGTAAGTTTGGAAAGATTTTCTCGTCTACTAGATATGGCTATACGTTACCACTAAACGAAGCAGATTTATTTGTTTCGCAGAATGGTGGTTAGAACATAAATTTGCTAGAAAAAAAAACCGCTCAATTATGCTATAATTAAGTCACCAAGCCCGATCGCTTCTCGTGAGCAATTCTATGTCGGTTAGACTAAATTCGTAAAATATCGTAGAACCTTTTCTAGTTTTCAAACTTTTTTTTCTAGTCAAAAAGGGCTAAAACTGTCAATTCAGAGCAGACTACTGTTTACTTAAATCGTTACGCTTTTTAAAGCTTTTTTTTTTTTATTTAATTTTAAGACTGTTGTTAGTTCCTGAAGCAACAAGTCATATTCCAGAAATTATAGGTGCCGGAATTTGCGTTTTTTTTCTTTTGTTCGTGATTGAAATAACCGACGCTAAGACGCTGTAGATCTACTATGCAGCTCATGTTACCTTATCAAGCTATTTTTAAGGCATTCAGCTTGCTCAGTAAAATGAAAATTTTATTTGTTATTTATGAGCTCTATGTCTTCGTTATCTTGAATGAACTAGTGCAATCCTAACTCAAGGACAACTCAGAAAAATCGTATGATATTATTGTACTAGTGACAACATCAAGTGATTGAATTGTTCACTTAACATTGTAGTTGTTCTGGCCCCGTGATATTACCTATGCCTTTGAAATAAAAGGTGTTTTATATGTATATTTATGAGTTTTAAGAGGATATCCTGTATGAAATTGAGTTATCGTAGTGTGATTAGCAAGGACGATCCGCTATCTAGGATAACATCAAGTTATCTTTCACTATATCGCGTAACAGTTTCTTTAATGTTTTTCTTGACACCGTCCACTTACAGTCGGTTGTTGTTATAAATAACTTAAGACAAACCAATTGTTTGTTACGAATATTGATAGTTTATTGTTATTTTATTTAAAAAAAAAAACATCTATTTGTCTCAAGCGTTTTGGCTGGCTGATTAGTGAATGTATGCGGGAAGATTCCAGTCTTTAGAATAAGTCAAATGGGGCCAGACTGGTCGGTTGAGGTATAGCACAATTTGCTAGCTCTAACGTTGACAGTTGGTACATTATATTTCTACGAATCACTAAAATAGTTTCTGTTGAGTGGTTCGATTATAAGCAAGCAAACATCGTAAATAGTCTAACTACATGAAAAGATGCTACTTTACTGAATAAAAAGAGATTAGTGCAGTTAATAGTTACAGTATATTTTAGAGGATTCACGACGGCTAGTGATGCTAGCAGGTTAACTACGTTGTGCTATGATTTTTGCAGCTCGTATAAATCCTCGTCCGTCACAGGGAAGCTCGAGTCCATTTGTGAACACAGGTCATGGCCACTCGCAATTTGTTCCGCTCAAGGTGGGCTCCCGTGCAGCGACTCAGGTAAGGCGGTAACAAGTATTTCTAAAAGGATGCTTCTAGCAGTAATGATCTGAGCCATCTATAAACATGAAAAATGTTACTCAATTCTCTATTTATATATTTCCATCGGGCTCACAAGGGCCGCATTCAGAGCAGGACGGTCCTCCTAATCAGCAGGTGCCAAGCCATCCAGGTTTGCAGTACGGTCAACCATCATCAACGAGCCAGACTCAAACCCCTCCTACCGGCACGGTTTCCTATATTCCCCCACATTCTCACTATCCTGGTTACGTTCAGGGGGTTCCCCAAGGCCCGCACCATGTGCAGCCCGGTCCCCCACAGATGCAGCAAGGGCCAGGACAGCTGCAGCCAGGGTCACAGCAGATGCAACAAGGTCCACCTCAAGCACAAGGCCCACCGCAAATGCAACAAGGGCCGCCACAGATGACTCAAGGTCCACCTCAGGGTCCACCAGGTCAATCTCAGGTGCCACAAGGTTCATCTCAAGTACAGCAAGGACAGCCACAGATGCAACAAGGACCTCCCCAGATGCAACAAGGACCTCCCCAGATGCAACAAGGACCTCCTCAGATGCAACAAGGACCTCCTCAGTTGCAACAAGGACCTCCCCAGATGCAGCAAGGACCTCCCCATATGCAGCAAGGACCTCCCCAGATGCAGCAAGGACCTCCCCAGATGCAGCAAGGACTTCCACAGATGCAACAAGGACCCACTCAGATGCAACAAGGGCCTCCTCAACTGCAGCAAGGACAGCCTCAGATGCAGCAGGGACCTCCACAGATGCATCAGGGACTTCCGCAAATACAAGGACCTCCTCAAATGCAACCTGGTGCTCCACAGACCCAACAGGCCCCACCTCAGCCCCAACAAGGTGGCCAGCAGACACAACAGGGTCCTCAACAGGGACAACAGGCTCCTTCACAGGTGCAACAGGGGCCACCAGGACCAGCAGGTATGCCTCA